GCGGAGACCGAGGTCGATGCAAAGCCGCTTAGTGGGTCTCGCCCCCGGCTGTGTGTTTTTGTGGTTTAGGGTTCAGGGTTGGGATTTTGGGTATCGTCCCCGACTGTGGGGTGTCAGGTTTTTTGGGTGCTTGGGGCTTAAGGTCTATTTTGGTTTTACCCTAAACCCTAAACCCTAAACCCTAAACGGATCTTGGGCTTCAGGTTTGGAGTCTATACAGTTTAATGCTCTAGGCTTTGGGCGCACAGAGGCAGGGGTCCAAATACAGAGCCTGCTCTTAGGGCTTTAGGTGCTCTACGGCTTTGACGTGGGGTTTTAGTGCCTCGGGGCTCTGCGCTTTGGTGTTTTAGCCGAAGCCTTTGAATGTTGAGGAGCATATGGGCTGGAATCTACGGGGCCTGAAGTTTTAAGGTTTAGAGTTTGAGGGCTTGGGGCTTCAAGGGTTGATTTAAAGCCTTGGGACGGTTGGGGATTGTGGGTTTGAGCAATCGCAAGGTGTAGCTTCAACCGTGCCGCCGCAGTGACGAAATAGGGTATAACGGTACAGCTGTTATTGTCAGGGGGGTTTACCGCCTTAATTTAAAGACGCGTTCTCTTCTGTAATTTAAGCCCAATGGAACCCCAAAACCCCGAAGTTATACCCCGTAATTACAAACTAACTCCAAGAACTTGTCAACACCGAAAACCCTCAGAAGCAGAACCCAGAGACTGCAAAACGTAGTTAAAGAATGTACTTCATAACTTACGAAGGGTCCTCGTTAGTTTAAGGCATTCAGGGCTTTCGGAGCATCTAAAAGTCCTTGCAGAAGCTTCCAAAAAGCCTTCCAAACTCTGCCCGCAACTCACCAGACTCCAGAAACACCCCTGTAAACCGCGACAATCATCTACACCCTAAGCCCGAAACCCTAAACCTCCCTCCCAGGAAGCCTTTAAAAGAGAACATGACCTTCGAGCCGGCAGACTCCACGCCGGGAGCCTCTGAACCTCTACCTAGGGACCTACCCATAGGCCCCATAGTAGTTCCTTTTTCGGGATTCCCTAATAGGATCCTACATATGAACCCCAAAAGGGAACTACTGTGGGGCCTATGGGTAGTTTTGGGCTTAGGGTTATCAGAAGCACGCCGTATTATGAGCACTAGGTTCGGGGCTTGGGGGGTTTAGGGCTCCTGGTTTTTGGCCGCCTCCCCTAACCCCTAAACCTGCCCTAAACCCTAAACCCTAAACCCTAAAACCCTAAACCCTAAACCCTAAAACCCTAAAGCCCTAAACCCGTACCCCAAAGTCTAGGCCCAATAAAGCGAGTCTTGCCCGGCTCTCAGCCTGCATCTGCTAGAAATCATCCATGTTGCAGTTCGGGGCCCTTGTGGTTAAGGATGCTGATGTTTAGAGCAGGGTCAGTAGGGTCTGTATAGGGGACAGCCAGATATTGAAACTTCCGGTTGGGCAAGGGCAGTACAAGTAGTATTTTCCTTTAGGGGTTCAGGGCTTAGAGAAGCTAGTTGCACAGTACACGCAGTGTGTCTCGCCGCATCCAAGCACAACATGTGAAACGTAAGTTGATTTAATGCATAAAAACCTTGGCAGTCAAAGACATTGTTATGTACGTCGATGTCGTGAGTGCGTCAGGTTGTCTCTAAAGATGTCCCGTCGTTCTGCTGCCATTGTATGGCGCTGCCTCCGCCTGGTGCTAACTGCTGCCCTCGCAGCCGCACTGACGGCAGCGCTCGCGCTGACACACGAGGACATCACGAACCCAGAGCCCAAAGACCAAAACAATTCCTGAAGCTACGTAGCTGCTCTGTCCTGAAAGTGCCATAGGTGAGTTTGTTGCTTCAGAGTTTAGGATTCAAGGTTTAGTCGTTTAGGATTTAGTGCCGAATTAGGGCCCTTCACCCCAAATCCTCAACCCCCAGCCCACAGGCCCCTACATGCTCCGTTCGAGGACCAGCCGAGGGGTAGGCTTCTTTCGGAATTCGCCGCGGACGGCCACCAAGGACTCCTGCAAGTTTTTGGGGGTTTTGGGTTCAGGATTTAGGGGTTAGGGTTTTTTAGGAGTTTAGGGTTTAGGGGTTTAGGGTTCAGGGTTTGGGTGTAATTAGGGCTTAGGGTGTACTTGGGGGGCTCGAATCCTTCGGTGAATGTGGGGCAACATACAAGGGGCCTTAATCATCGGGGTTTAGGGTATATTGTGCTGGAATGGTAAGAGGAGGCTTGCATAGTTGCATTAATTAATATTTTGCAGGCTTGAATGTAACTTGATTGGGGGGGGTCCGCGCAGGTCATTCCTGGCCATGGCAGACGTGGATCGTAGCCGTTCTCTTTGTGCTGATTTGTGGGTGTGGGCAACTTCTCTGCTGCTTAGCCATGACTTAAGAAGAGGATCGAAACCATAAACCCCGACCAGGACGTAACTAGGACAGCCAGCTCACAGCAGATTGTACGCTGTCAAAGGCTACGCAAAGGGTAGGGTTCATCACAACTGAAAACAGGGTTAGAGTTTAAGGCTTTTGGTGGTTTAGGGCTGCTCGTGATAGCATCCTACCGGCAAAGTTATGGGCTCTGCAAGGTACCCCCAACCCCAAGGAAGAAATTTGGGCGGAGCCCTGAATCCTGTGGCGCTTGATCAGAAGGGTCTAAGCAATTACAGTAGTGATAGCAAAGTCCGCTTATGGCCCCCATGACAGCACTAGTGGAACAAGTCCCCAAGACCCTGATTATTTGAATTATGACCGCCCTCTGAGACTCTGGTACCCCGAGCAGCCGCCTTTTGCTGGTTCAAGTCAAACACCTGTATCGACTCCCAATACGGAAACATCCTTCAGAGCAAGGGTTCAGGCTCGTGGCCGATCCGGACCAAAATCTTTCAACTCAAACATCTTAAGGCCCATAAACTCACAAGCTCTTAATACACCCCCCACAAAACCCCAGGGGTACAATAGTAGGGTATAAAAAGGCCTTCTGTACAAGTATAACCCTAAGCCCTAAACCCCAAAACCCTAAACCCCAAAACCCTATACCCGAAACCCCAAAACCCTAAACCCCAAAACCCTAAACCCTAAACCCTTAAGTAGGTTAACGTTATCAGATCCACAGTCGAACCCCGGATCCCTCATAGCCCGGATCCGCCAAAACCCCACAAACTCCTAGCACACCCCCGAATTTCCTAAGCCCCCAAACAACCGCAAGCCCTTCATTAAAAGACCGCCTAAAGCAAAGCCGATGTTACTCGAGGTTGTTTAAAACCAAGCCCATCTAGAGCCAATGAATCCTGTCATAAACCACCTTATTTTAGAGCCGAGGCTGGGTCTAAAAGCCTCACAGAACCCCCATTTGTTTAGGGTTTAGGGTTTAGGGTTTAGACTATTGTGGAGCTTGCTTCCAAAACTCCATAAAATCCTCATGAAACCCTATATGCTTCTATGTTCCATATAACCTTTCAGCCCTCAACCCGAAACGGACCCTAATCAAACCCTAAACCCTAAAACGCTGAGCAATTCAACCCTAAGCCTTATAAATTATAAACCTTAACCTAAAACCCTAAAACCCTAAAGCCCTAAAGCCCTAAAGCCCTAAAGCCTAAACCCTAAGCCCTAAAAAAAGCCCCAAAAAGCGTAGTCGAGGCTGCTTCGGCTGCCTTAGAAACGGCTGGGAGCGGGGCGACTTCCAGACCTTGGGCCCGTACACGCCCATCTCGCAGACGGACCTGCGGCTTTAGGCTTTAGGGCTTAGAGGGTTTATAGGGTTTAGGGCTTATAGGGCTTAGAGGGCTTATAGGGTTTAGGCTTTAGGCTTTAGAGCTTAGGGCTTAGGGTTTAGGGTTTAGGCTTTGAGGCCCAGGGCTTAGAGTTTAGGGCTTAGGGTTTAGGGTTTGGGGCCCAGGGCTTAGAGTTTAGGGCTTAGGGTTTAGGGCTTAGGGTTCAGGGTTTGAGGCCCAGGGCTTAGAGTTTAGGGTTTAGGGTTTGGGGCTCAGGGCTTAGGGTTTAGGGCTTTGGGCTTAGGGTTTAGGGTTTACAGGGCTTAGGGTTTGGGGTTGCGACCGGGTCGAAATACAACCAAACGGGGGAAAATACAACCCACACAGTGCAAAACACAACTGAACCACTATTGTGGCCCTAGCACGAGCGAGGACTTAACATGATCATTTCGGCATGCTTTCTCTTTATGTGCTGGCATGTAGTTGTTTCGGTTTGTATGCTTTCGGTCATGTAGGTACGAACGGCATGTGGGCAATACTTAGCATTAACATTTCGGTTTGAAGGCATGAGGTCAGGTAGGCCCGAAAAGCATGTAGGCAATCAGAGGTTACAGCGAAGTTATCAAGATGGTTTTGTTTACATGCCACTTTCAACAATCCCACTCCCCAACTACTCAACAATACCCATAGACCCTTGGACCAAAGGCCCTATAGTTGTATTACCACCCATCTGGTTGTGTTTTCACCCATCTAAACCAATTTCTAGAGATTTGAGTTGTATTTTACCCATCTGGTTGTCTTTACACACATTCGCCTTATTCTCGGGTTTAGGGTTTAGTTGGGGGTTAGGGTTTAAAGCTTAGGGTTCAGGGCTTCGGAGTTAGGGAACTTTAGGGGCAAAAGGGGGTGCGGGGTTTTAGATTTGAAGGGGTTATAGGACTAGGATTTAGGGTTGGTCGGTTTCGAATTTCGTGGACTTATACAGGGCGTGCATAGGGCTTATGGTTAGGTGCATAGGGCTTTCAGGGCGCTGTAGGCTTTGTGGACCGGCGGACTTCTGGAGTTGAAAACTTGAATGAAACCCCGAAAGCTAGGGTTTAGGGTCTAGGAACCCTAAACCTCTAAACCCTTAGTTTTAGACCATCCCTAAACCTTGATGAGCCTAAAGTATGTCCTGAACCCTAAGCCCTGCCTGAACCCTACGCCTGAGCCTAAACTGTCACTGAAATCCGAAACCACCGCTTTTTGTTGAGGAGTTTCAGGCAGATGGCTGGGCGGAGTCCAACGGTGTGAAACCGGATCATGCACCTGGGACGTTCCGTTTTACCTTATAGGGTCCAAATCTAGTCTGAAGAGGCACCTTTGTCCTTGTTTTGGCGCGCGGTTATCTAATGATCCTACCATACTTGGCAACTTAAAGATTGTTGAGCCCAGAAAACTCAGCGGAATACGGTCTTGTATTCTAGCTGCATTGTAATATGACTTTCCCGATTTTGCGGTAGGCGCCGATTTGATACATTACTGTAATAGATGATCTGCTGGCCCCGACGGTATGACCATGCGATTTTGGTACTTGGACCCCGGGCTTCGTGGCGCAATGTTTTCCGTATGCTGTTTGGCTTGGCCTTGCCTGTGGCTAAAAGAACCGACCGCTTTGAGGAATTTATGTATAAAAAATATAGATAGATAGATAGATAGATAGATAGATAGATAAATAGATACATATACATATATAGAAAGCATATGAGAAACCCTAAAAAATAGGTTTTTTCGGCTCCAGGTAGGGCTCAAGATTGAGAGTTGTTGTCGCAGGGAACGTAGAACTTGCCAAGACCACAGAGCAGCCAAGGAAAAGATTGGGCGCGTGCTGCGTCAGGAAATGCGGCTGATGATGCTGTATCCTGTGATCTCGATTCTGGCCGCAGCCGACAGCAGCTGTGAGAAAGGGATGCCTCTCTGGGGATACGCGCTGTACATCCCGCTTCTCCTTCGCGCAACTTCGAAGCTGAGTAAGTAACCTTTAACCTTTTTGGGCTTATATAACCCTACCATAGTTGAAAGGTTAACCTTTTTTGGGCTAGGGTACTCAGCCCTAAGGCAAAGTGGATTGAGATCAAAATCCTCCGCGCCCTAAACGAGGACCGGCGGGGCTTTCTTGTCGCTTCCCTCACTTGGTTTTTCTGCATATGGCTCAATACTAAACCCTAAACCCTACTATAAGCTCCTAAACTCTAAACCCCTGAACTCCTAAACTCCTACACCCTAAACCCCGCAGGCACTAAACCCCAAACGCTAAACCCTAAACCCTGTAAAGGGTCTTGTCGACCAGCTCTGGAGCCCGGTGATGATTTATCCCGAAGGGTTTTAAAGGACCTAAGTTTAGCGTCTGTTTGGGGTTTGGGGTTTAGGGTTTAGGGGTTTAGGGTCTAGGGTTTTGGGGTTTAGGGTTTAGGTTTTTAGGGTCTAGGGTTTAGGGGTTTAGGGTTTAGGGTCCAGGCTTTGGTCCAGAGTCCAAAGGACCTAAAAATCATGTAGTTGGGTTACGGATAGTAGTTTTGTAGGATAGTATTCAGAAGAGTATATGATTATTGGGTCCTCTTTGAACCCTTTAGGGTAGCAAAGACAGCAGAAAGACTCAGCTCTTGGGAGTTGAGCGCTTGTTGGGGTTTAGGGGTTTTAGGGGATTAGGGGCTTGGGGGTTTAGGGGTTTAGGGGTTTTAGGGGTTTTAGGGGTTTGGGGTTTACGGGATTAGGGGTTTAGGGTTTGCAGGGTGGGTGCAGGGTTCAGACGTTTATAGGTAAAGAATCAACATCAGATTTTGGGCACAGACAGGGAAAGGGGTTTAACAAGAAGCAGACTTACCCATAGGCTCCATTGTAGTTCCTTTTTTTTATTGTGGTTTATATCTAGCATCCTATAAGGTAATCCCACAAAAGGAACTACTGTGGAGCCTATGGGTACTTTGGACCTACAGTCTCCGCCGTGGTCCCTTCGTTGGTTAGCCAGCTTTGTTCTTATAGGATCCTCCACGTTACCCATAGGCTCCATAGTAGTTCCTTTTCGGGATTACGTTATAGAAACCTATATATAAGCAACAAGAAGGAACTATTATGGAGCCTATGCGTATCAACAAGAATAAACTACACAAGCTAAATACAATGGAGGCTGCGCCTGACGGATCAGGGGCCTTAGTAACTAGACTTATAAAGATAGTGTAACTGCGCTACACTTTTTCAGTATAGCCCCGCTTGCGGGGCTCTTTTTGCCATAAACCCTAAGCCCTAAACCCTGCTTGCGGGTTCTTTTGCCATACTTGAAGGACTGGAGCAACATCTTCCGGGCACCAGGCTCGGCTCTCGGAGCAGACTGGGACTGGATGTAAGCCATTAGAGCGCAAGAACCCTAAAGCCAGCAACCCTGAAGCCCTAAACGAAAAGACGCGAAGCCCTGCAGCCGGAGGCCTAAAACTACAAAACCATAGAGCCCCAAAGCACGAAGTCCCTCCAGCTTCTAAATTCTAAACCCTCAAAGTTCTGCGGCCCTAGCTTCCTGTGCATCCCACCTGAAGGATTGCGAAACTCAGATAGTGGGTTACAGTCGGGCGGTAAGTACCCTAAACAGGGTTACCTTTTCTACAGCATTATGCATAAAAATGATTTAAGCCTTCGGAAGAGCCTTACAGGTGCCCCATCCAGAAAACTTGTCTGGAGCCCTTACGGAACCGAAAGCCCTAATACAAACCTAGGGTTTAGGGTTTTAGGGTTTATAAGCTCTAGGATTTAGGGAAGTCATGTCAGATTCAGGTCCCAGGGATTGTAAGTATTGGTGGGCGTTTCGAGTGTATTCTTGTTAAAGGGGTGTTGCATGGTGCGTGCTCGTGTTGTTTTACAGATTTTGCAGTGGCACTGGTGGTTTATAAGTAATGCCTTCCCCAAGGGCTCCAAGTATGCAAATGGTACCTACTTTGGGGCTTAAAGTCTATAAATAGGACCTACTTTGGGCTATTTAGAGCCCCAGGGTTCGGTTTTAGGATTCAAGCGCAGCCTTCGTCCTGCGCTCTGACGAATGAACTGTCAATACAACTCCTAGCAGTTCCTTCAGTTTGTTTCAATCTCAACCCACTCGCTCAAAGCATAACTGAAATAGGCAACCCAAGGGCGCTAGCGACGTAAGTTCGTCGGTTACTAACCGTATCATATGTAATCCCAGTAATGCACTATTAGGCAACTGGAGCCCTAGGGCAAAAAACATCCCGTCGACGCGCATAGATCTCAGTAGTAGGCGACCAGAGTCGCAGCTCAGGGCTTATCGGTGCTGCTAGGCCCCTGGTAATGGTAGGCCCCTAAACCCTAAACCCTCAACCCCAAAACCTTAAAGCCCTAAACCCTAAACCCGAATAAACCCTAAAGCTCTAAACTCCTAAAACCCTAAAACCCTAAAGCCCTAAACCCCTAAAAAGCTAGCAATGACCATTTCCATTTTCTAACCATGCACCCCCCCCTAGCACCAAAACCATAACAACCTATACCTCAACCC